TTTTAGTATTTACAGTAGTAGTAAGTAGTAGTTTATTTTAGTATTTATACACAGGTATATATTAAGGTGTTTTAAACCCTTCCCATACTATTACAATGTCCCTAATGTCCCTAAGCGCTCTAAAAGAGCACAGCATGTCTCTCTACCTCCAGCTGCTCTCTGCCACATGCCAGTGCTCTCGGACACGCCCACTTCTCCGCTGCAGAACGGAGCTCTGACATGCTGCAGGAGGAAGCTTCTCCTGCAGCTGTGGGCTGGGTGCAGCAGGTGCAAAATATTTTAAAATAATTTATTTTAAATAAAAATTCCATGCCGATTGTGCGGCTCATCCATCAATGATCCAATTGTGTGTCATGTCCAATCTTACTTTGAAAAACTGCGATAGTGACTCGGCGAAAAACGCACCGCGAAGTAGCGAGGGACTACTGTACAGCACTTTGGTCCTAAGGTTGTTTAAAGGGCTTTACTATATAAATAAAGCTGTTGTGGTATGGATAAACTAACGAACCACCACAATTCAAGACTCGAGCTTAATAAAGCCTATTTGAATGTGAAATAGTCAGGCTACATTTAACTTACAAGTCCTTGCTGTGTAGAAAAGTCCAACAAAGGTTTAGCTCACTCACTTTTCCCTCCAAAGGTCCTCCAGATATGTTTTCACCATCACCAAGATGCCATCAAACCACACCCAGAATGTGTCAGGTGAATTTTCCTGAAACAGAAGGTGAATCATAATGTACCTAATAAGTGTTTTTAGAATCATGGCCATGCTAGTGGCTTAAGAAAGGCTCTAAATACTTTTTTTTTTTTACAAAACAGTGATTGTCTTTTAAAAAATGACAAAAAGAAATTGCTGTATAACATCCATCCATAACATACTTGTTTTAATTATCATTAACACACAACAGATCCCTGTTTAGATTAATTAACAGTACTGTAAAAAAACAAGTTTAAGAAAAGCAAGTTAGAAAAAAAAAAGAGAGAAGCAAACCTCAATCTTTTTTCTACTATTACAGATATAAATGTAAACTGAGAAAAACTGCTAAATAAATAAAAGTTTTGGAGCATATTTGCATATTTCACATGAATGTATTAAGAGGTTGCTATTTATCTTTTGGGCCCCTTTCAAACATGAGCTGGTTTTCCATCTTACCTTGGTAAATTTGGACCATGGTACTATGCAGACGTCATAGTTCTGCTGCTTTCCTGGCAGAGAAAAATAACAATAAAAGAGTTGCCTTATCCAAGTTTATTCCCTGTCATTTTAAAACATATTTACAAGCAGATTACAGACACGGACTTATTGTGAGCAAACAATAATTATATGGCACTCAGAACATTCAGTAATTACGAGGTATTAATAAGCGCAGATGAACCACAACACAATATGTATAACGTTTTCATTGTTTATTTAACCAAATCTAAACCAAAATGCAAAAGCAGAATGTTAAAAAACAAGTCCAACAAATATCCTGATGCATGCTCAATAATCCAGGTAGAAAAACACAAAAAAAGTTAAATCTGGTCCTCTGGACATTCAAAAAAAAAAAGAAGAGGTTATCCAGAGTTATGATCATTATGATCAAACAAAGCGAGACTGGTGGCAGATAGTCGGAGATTTAGGAGTTGATGACGTTCATAAACCAGCAGTGAGTCGATGTTGCAGATAGAGGTGGAGGGCAGGCCATGCACAGCGGCGCCATCTTCCCGGAAGACTGCAGAGAAGCCGGGGGGAGCTGCCGTCCATCAGCTTGCCGGAACCAGAAGTGAAATGAAGCTCTTGTCTTATTTTTTAATTCCTCTGAATATTGCATGATCAGATTTTGGACTGAAACTGATGGTACATGCAGTCCTGAGAACATCGCCGACTATTTTTAATATGCTTGACTTGTCTTTTTCATTTCAAAATGATTAACTCCAACTTGTGAAACAAGGTGTTTTTTTATTTTGTTTTGAACAAACTGCTTCTGACTTAGTTTGTTTTGCGTTGTAGTTTATATAAAAATCCAAGACCTGATGAGGAAGACATTTAATTTTGTTCTGACTGTAAACAGGTGTCTTAAATTTAATTAAGTTGCAAGAATTTACAGTGCAGCTATTTTGTTGCTTAGTTTTAAAAAGGCTTCAATCACAAATTGTTTTATCTCTGACTGAAAACAAAACATCCATCTTGAGAAAAAATAAGGCGAGAAGACACAAGAATTACAGTTTGAAATGTTAATAATAGGTGGAGATAACTGTAATATCGGTTGTAACCCTGATGAAAATCTGGATAAATAAGAACATAAAAATCCATACAGTAATGCATAAATTATAAGCAATAAGTAGTCGCTCGCTACTTTGCAGTTCGACTTCTGTGGACTCGCACTATCGCGATTTGTGAACGTACAGTAATAATACAAAGTTTGTTTTCTCAGTCATCCAGGTATATAACAACAAAAAAGGTTGAATCATGTCATCTGGACTTCGTTTTTTTGTTAAAAAAGAAACGTTTCGCCCCTCGTCCAAGAGGCTTCGTCAGTCTGAGGCCTAGCCATCTGGTATTACCCAGAAGCCACCCTGACTCTTGTGTTTCAAGCCTGCCTCAGATACCCCTGAAGTCTGGCCTT